AGAACAAGGCAAAAGAATGGGCACGTCGTGTTTGAAGAATATATTGCTGTTAACACAGAAATGTGGCGTGAGAAGTAATCCCATTTTTCATTCTCCAACAAGAGAAAAGGTTGGCAACTCCACTGCAGTTACAATTGCTCTTCCTTAAGGTCACTGTCCAGGGCCATTCTCAGAAAATGAACTGAGTTACATCTCTAAGGGAATAACAAAATAACTGAAGATTTATTGTACTTGTGGATGAAGAAATATTTGCAGCGTCAAATTACGACATCAATATGTTATGCACAATCAACTAAACAAACATTTAAATATTTTTGCCCGCTCGCTCATTTATGGAAGGACAGTTTGTCGACTAATTATGTTGTTCCAGTAGGCCGTGAGCTTTCAATATCTTTTTATTTATACTCATAGTTTTTTTTATCCTCTGACTTTTAATATTGACAATATTCAAACAAAGTTCAATTCAAGTGTTTTTTTTAATTTTAACAATAATTTTACCGTCCAGATCCCAGCTAGCGGTTTTTGAAAAAAGACCGTGAATAAGGGCCGAAAAGTGAATAATTGCTGAAAATATGTATAGAAATGTTTGTTTTTGAAAAAGTCAGAAATAATTAACGCCTAAAGGACAACCTCTATGAACTGCCCGACATGAAGTTTTATGTCTGTTTTTGACCTATTTTCTTTTAACCCAATACTCTAAATATGTGAAGTAGGGGAACTGGGATTCGAAAAAGGTAGTGCCCATTGAATCGAATAGGGGAGCGAAACCATTCTGTAAATCACCCTGCGACCGACACGATGTTCAGAAATCGCCATTCGACTTTCCGGGTAGTGCGCCAATGATTTTCGAGGTCTGTGAACGGCGTTTCCTTTTTAGAATATGTGCATCTGAAGCGGAAATCGCAAAAAAAATATTTATTCGTAATATTAAGAAATGTTTCATTTGATGAGTGATATAAAGTGCATATCCTAAATATTTTCACGTATTAATAATTTTAAGATACTATATTCGCTTTACCTACAATATTGACACAAAATTTTCAGTCATATTGGCCATAAATTCTAATTCGGAGATTAGCTAAATTAAGATTTATTAATCTGCTTATTATATATACCTTGGCAGCAATTATTTTCGAAGGAAAGGAGTTGCATCTTGGATAACGAATTTTACTATTTCAGTTATTTGCAGTCTGACATTGGTTGTTGAAAAGAAAAGCATCACTTGTTTTCATCTTACACTAAAACATAATTTCAATAATACGGAAATATTTTGTTTTCTAATTCACGACTTAAGTTGTATCGTTAAATTACCTCTAAATTTGTAAGAGAAACGGAAAATTTGCGATACATTTTTCGCACCGTATGACTTTATTTCGACCAAAAAAACATTACTCTGAACCGCCCCCGAGGGCAAGAAGCTTAGAACAACTCGCGAAAATGGTAATGAGGCAGTCTTTCTGCTCATTACACGCCATCGACATCTTGCAGATTTCTTTACCTGTGTTCTCGGAGTACGCTCTTGAAGTGCAACCTTCGCCGCACCTGAAACGACCAGGACATTAGAAGCGGTGTTTTTGGAAACTCTTTGTAGTGCTCGCGTCATATGAGAAGAATACGTTCCTACTGCACTCATTTGGAGGACGTTCGTGAAATGACTGAAAGTGCAATTGTCAAATGCTATAAATTAAAATTGCAGTTCACAACTGATACTCAACCTTTGATGTAAATAAACATATTTGGTAATTTACGTTTAACTCTCTAATAGCGCAAATTGTGTGTAGTATTGAACTGATAAAAAAGTATTATTGGCGTAAAAAGATTACAATTATTTCAAAACGTAAAACACAAGAGATCACAAAGAGTCATAATAAATGCAATCTGGTTAATCCAATACTTTTAAATCCGAAATCATATTCATTTCTCATTTTAACACACATCCCACACTATCTTATATTAATTTGATGTCTATTAAGTGGCGTGTAATTTCTCAAATATGGCAAGTGAAAATTAAAATGTGTTTTCAATGCCGATACGTTCATGCCATTCAAACAATACCGAGTATACAGTGGATTGAACTCTTATTATCGGTGAATGGACTTCTAAAACCCATCAACCTGCTATCATTTTAAAAGACCCGACCTCTGTTTCACGCCAGTAGATCGTCGACTACGAGGAAATACCACATCAGATTGCACTCCAGTCAGCTGTTCGGTCTTCCTTTTAAGGGCCGTTTCTCAATTTCCCGTGAAGGGGAACGGCAGCACGAAAGCAAGGACGCAAATGAGAACGAGAAATGCCGCCGCGTCACAATATACGCCAGTGGAAAGAGGAATTGCACAGAAACACAGCGGCTGAACAGAGAACTTCAGAAAACAGTTCAGAAACCAACGCGCCTCTAGCTGCGCTGCTCCGGACGCTCTTTCGTTCGCCATCTCTACCTGTGTATATCACCACGTTGCGTTTCTGTGAGTTTTGTTGTTGTTATTGTTTTTGTTCATTTGTACCCATTCCCATTTATTTTTACTGTATCTATTTTAATATTTTTCCACTTTTTTATACGATATGTATCTTCTCAAATTAGTAGATTGAGTGATTTTGAGTATTTTTTTGGATTAGTCTACATCTATTTTACTATTTCTTTTGAATTAATTCTATTATCTACATTGCTTCTGTATATCTGATCTTCGCAAATCCACGCTCTAACCTCAATATTGCATTTTTCTCTGAGCACCAGTCCAGTGTTGCGCACTCGATCAGCTGGAATATTTCGTCTCCATTTGCTATACTTGGTCGAGGACGCGAGGGCCTTTTTTGTTACAACACCCTTTTAAATGATCCTCCCCGTTGATGTTTCCAACCTGTTTCGCGTGTGCTTCATTATTTACACATTCAAGAATAAATATGTTTTAATCAAGCCCGTTAGAATTCAAGGAATACTAGTTTCTTTTTTGTATTTTGGATTGATTGATGTTTGGGGGCACGTCAAATGCTATGGTCATTTGTCCAATAATGAATGTTTTATCCCGGGAGGAGGCGGTGATTCCTTTCACACTAGATGGTGAGATAGGGACTAGGCATAAAACGTCGCCTTGCGAAGGATAATTTTTGGCGGCGGCGATGGTGTAACAGCGTATCGGACTGTTACGCCAAAGCCGTGGATTTTTAAGAGCAAAAAATTCTTTCGGAGAGGAAGTAAAACCGGCAGTCCCATGTTAGTAGATTTACTTGCATGTAAAAGATCCTCAAGCCTAAATGCGCTTCTGAGCTAAACTCAAATCGCGCCCAAAAAATACCCTCGTGGTCAGACGGAAGAGCGGGCATGATGGCCCGAGTCTCGCAACCAAAAATAAGGCATTAATTCATTTCTAGAAATGAATCTAGAATTAGAAATCCTAGAAATTCTCTCATAAAATACGCGCGCTCTGTATTGGTACGGGATCGGACGGACGGCAGTTTTTGTGTGGGTCGCGCGCACTAGGACGGGACGGCATGGGCACTTGGCTCCGTGTCTTGTTCGCGATGGCGTCATAATTTAAGTAAAGGAGCAATTGCATTGGAATCATTTTTAGAAAAAGAAGAAGGAAAGAAGGCTACGAGTTGAAGAACGCCCAAATTCTCTTCTCTTGTAAACAGAAAGATAATGACCAAAGGGAAATGTCACATATTACTGGTGGAAGATGAAGCATTATTTCAGTTCTTTAGGATGTCTAACGAAAAATTTGAAGCTTAGATATTTTGATCAATATAAGATATAAATAAATATGTTAGTAACACAATTAAATTTAACTAAGGAACGGACTCCTAATTGCATTAATTTATTTAGAAACTCCCGAAAATAATCGGCATTATAATTAACTCAAGACACATAAAAAATATTACTTTGATTAATGAACTAATGAAGAATTACAAAACATGGCATAATTTATTTACCGTGTTCAAATGAACCAAGTTTCACCCATACTGCTCAGCTTCTTATAAATACCTAGAAAGTGAAATTTGGCAAACGTTACTCCCTGATTCACATAGTTTAGCTAACCAATTAAATTACACTTCCTAACAAGGTAATACATTAAATAAAACTTAATATCTCGCGGTATAATGCGAGATAATTCTGGATCAAAATAATCAAATTGGACGCATTTATGAACGCTTCACATAACCTCACAACTGAAACGGCGCAAAGTTCGTTCTTCCGATCGTGCCGATGACGTCTTCGGCACGTCGGAATGTCCAGAAGCTCTTTGCTTCGGTCTTTTTGCAAACGGTAGACGGTGTGGATCGTCTCGTCCCGTCCTTGCCGGCCTAGTGCGCGCACCCTTACGGAATTCAATGTAATCAACTTTTAAAAAATCCATCCGTCCCGCCCGTCCGTGCCGAACCGATCCAGTGCGCGTGATCCCAATATGTGTAGTAGTGTAGCAATGTAAATATAAGTGTGTGTGTGTGTGTGTGTGTGTGTAAGGAGAAAGGATAAGACAAGAAAGGGGAAGAAGAGATCGTGCGCGGTCTGTAATCCGTTTGTTACGGTACTACTCCGGCACTCGCCTGGTACTGATCAGAGAAACCACGGAAAACGTTCGATCAGAGTAGGCGGCCGCTAGTATTTTCTTCCAGATACCGGCAGATCCAGATTCGACGTACCTATTCAGCCAGTGACGAAAATCTGACATTGTTAGGACTCGAAACCCTAGACGTTTGACCTCCAGGTAAGAATCACTGCCAAAGAAGCGGCAATCCATGCTGTAACGTTAACTCAGCGGGTCGGTATTTTGAATAAATTTGCCGCTTATTTTACACAGCTCATAATCTATGTAGAACTATTTAATCTCATTTTCTACTTTTGACATTTCACCTTCAATTCATCATTCCACGACAACTCATCATTATCATTATTGGAAACATAAAATCATTAATCGACATTGCACGTATTCACGGACATCAGAAGCAGCCACTGGAAATTAGCCTGGCGGCAGTCGCAGGAAACACGCAAAGTGAACGCAGAAGCGGCGCGCGACTGGTTCAGAAGTCAGTGCGGCGCGGCCGGGCGGAGGCCGAGCAAATGGGAAACGCCCGACGGTAGCAGCGGAGATGGCAGGTTGATAACAGAAGGCGGACCTTAAATGCCCCTTAACATGACGGCGGCTACACCCGCAGGAAGATGCAGGCGAAAGCCAGTGAGTATGTAGAAGCAGCTGCGAAAGCGGTAAAGGGAGTTAAACGCGCTAGTTGTAATACCGACGGCAATTCTGTTTCTGTGTGCTTACGTTCAAATATTGCTTGAAAATGGTGGTCACGATTATTTATTGGTGGTGGTAAAGAAATTATTATTATAATAATTATTATTATTATTATTATTATTATTATTATTATTATTATTAGTATTAGTATTAGTATTAGTATTATTAGCCACTATACATCCCGTTCAAGGCAAGGGTCTCCTGCTTGTGCAGAGAAGTTTACAAATAAAAGAACTTCCAATTCAAAAGAAAGAGTTCCAAGTAGTCACTTCCGCTAGTTCTTTGAACCACTACATATTCACTTGTTATTCTTTCCTGTCCTTCGTCTACATGTCTTCGTAATTTGTCTTCTGTTCTCCATGTCGTTGGGCTTCCGTTATCGGTTCAGTTCAGTTGTCGTTATTTTTATAATATTAAATCATAAATAAACCATTATCGTAAATACAGTTAGGAGGGATCAAATGTGAGAATAGGTAGATGTGGACATCTGTTCACGGAGATGAGTTCCAAAGGAATGTTTTGTGTCAGTGAAGAAATAGTAGTGACATGAAGATAAATTGTATAATAAAAGCAGCCAGAGAACGGGCGGAATTGGTACCATGGTTGTCAGAATTTCAGTCGATGATATTTGAAGCCCCGAGAGAAGCAATTACCGCTGCGGCGGCTGCCGTGGTGACAACGTGGAGGTCGCGCTCCGAAGTCGGCCGTTGCGCCGTCGGGAGAACCGGCGGATGGGAGCGCACGTTACCAGTGGCAGCGCGAACGGATGCAAACTCATAGCCGACGGGAGGGGCAGCGACGTTGGACGCGGAGGCGGCGGCGGCGGCCAAGGTGGCAGGTTGAGGGCGCGGGGCGGGAGTTTACTGCCCCTTAACGCCCCGTGTAATTACGCCGTCAGGTTTTATTAGCGCAGCGTTATTTAGGCGCGGGTGGGGGCGGGGACGTGGCGAGGCGGTGTCGACGCTGTCCGGCGCGCCTGCCTCATCGGCTCTGACAACACGTTCAGGCCGCTGCCGCCCCGCCCACCCGCCCACCGCTCCCACTCACCCGCCACCCGCTTCACCCGACTTCCGCTCCGCCCCGCCCGCTCCGCCCCGTCCGCCCGCTCCGCTCCAGCCCGCTCCGCCCGCCCGCCTCGCCCCGCCCCGCCCGACTCCACCCCGCTCAGCCCGCTCCACCCACTGCCGCTCCGCCCCGCCCTACCCACGTCCCGCTTCTCCCCGCTCACCTGCCCCGACGGCCCCGCTCGCTCTACGCTCCTTTCTAACCGCTCCGCTCTGACCCGCTCCGCCCCCCGCCCGCCCCGCCCTACCCGCTCCCCGCCGCCCAGCCTCACGCCACCACCACGCCCCACCACGCCAGCACGCAACGCCCCACCCCTCCCACCCCCGCCCACCCCGCCCGCTTCCGCCCTCTCGCCGCCCCGCTCCCCGAGCGCGCCCCCGCGCTCTGCTCCGGCCCCACCCCGCCGCTCCGTCCCGAGCCCGCCGCGGCCTGCACAAGGAACGCTAAAGCTCGGCTGACGTGAAGCCGCCGCTGCCCTGAACTTACTCTCCCTCTGCCACGAACAACGCTTCCTCCTAGACCGTTCGCCGCACCCCCAGCCACCTACAGGCCAATTCATCTCGCCCACCGCCCCTACGAACTCGGTTCAGATGACTACCATTCCAATAAAAAATTGCCCCGACGGCTACCACGTGTAATTTTATGAGGTGACTTTTGATATTAAAAACATATAATAAAATATACAGATCGCTAATATAATTATCAATAAAAGTTTTAATGTTTATCAAAATGTCCGAAGACAAAGATACAATGTACCAGAAATTGTTGTCAAATCGCTTCAAAATGAGCAATCCAGCAGTTGGATTTGTTACTGATCAACCAGGCTTCATCGTTTTCGTCATGTTAACTTACTTTGGTTTGGACCAGGAAAATCTGCATACTATGGCGAAATCGCCGCTGCAATAGATTACCGCCTCACAGTAGCTTAGAGTCGTTACAAACAGTGACACTTCAAATTCAGAGAAAAAAATGAATTGAAAACTTAGTAATTCTGTTTCACAAATTTTTGTATCATTTTCTGCGTGATTTGAAGCAACAATTATTAAAATGAATCATTAAATGGATCAAATTCAGTAACAATGATTTTAAAAATACTAGGGAGAGGTGACAAAATAGATCTATATCTAAAATCGAGCATAAGTAGCAGAACAAGTTATGTCAAAAAGCGTCATTTCCTTTTATGATAAGAACATAAATGAAAACGTGTCATTAAAAGGGCATTGTTCTAAGTAAAATGAAAATGACATTATCAATAATTTGCGCCCTCTTATTGTGATTTATTATATTACTAGCATTTCGATGAGATCGTGTGGAAGAGTGATTTAAAAACTAACTAGATTACGTATATAAAATAAACAATTATTAGAAGGTAATTGGAAATTTCCCTCACTTCTATCACGACTATTTTTTGGTACGTGGGTCTGTATTCTTGTGCGGGCCATTCTCAGGCCTGAAAAATGATCGTAAGTCTGCTTTGCGAGTTACGACCTGCAACCCGTCGTATCCTTGGTGGTGCGTCCCGGCTGACACGCCCCTCCATCACTTCTCTTTTTCGTAGCTGGGTCTTCGTCGTCCCGCTCTCATCCGCCGAGACTCCTGCTCCACGAACCAGACCTCTCGCTGCCGCCAGACCCGCGCCATCCCTCTCTTCTTCTTTCATCGACTGCCAACCATTCACCGAACCATCAGTCTGTAGCTTTCAGGCCGGATCAATATTTCTTCATTGTCTTCGCGGTGTGGCCTGGTGTCCAATGTGGCTTCTGGATCAAAACTTTTTCGCCGGACTGCTGTTGGCGATCTTTCATGCGCAGGTCTAGTTGGGCGAAGGTCCTGCCGGTGGGCTGACTGCGACTGAACGACTGAGTCACTTCGCCGAGCACCTCGCCATCTGGGCATGCCCACGCATCGTGGGGAAACGCTTTGGGATCGAGCCAATTGGACCACGGCCCATCAGCCCGGAAGACATGAAGAATATTCACCGAACACTTCACCTCAGTACGATTCTCTTCTGCCGCCGCCCAAGCATCAGGGATGATTTGAGGTGCTCAGAATACGTAATAATGGCAGATCCCAACCGAAGTTCGTTTCCAGAAAAAATACTTTTTCTATTTTCGTTCACGTTTACTTTCACTCCGGTTAAATTTTTGATAGGTGGAAGGTAGAACTTGAGATTTTTGCTTTATTCTAATTCATTTGATATTTCACCATATGATAAGTAAAAATGTGTAAGGCAGGTGTTTACCGTTATACTTTTAACATGCGAATGCGAGGTCGGTTGGAATATGTCGGTGTTATCCTGAGAACCTCAATTAACACTAAAACAGAGTAAAAACTGAGACTACATAATCAGTCCAATAATTTGCATAGAACCCGTCAATGATTTGTTAAACAAAATTATATATTAGTTCATAAATATTTGGAATGAATTATTATTTATTACTCAAATCGTGAAGGTCAGATTTTATTTTCGTATTTCAACATTCTTAAGAAGCCCCATTCTCGCTGGACCCGTCAGATATTTATCCGACTGCCTGGCACTCCGCCGGCGCCTATTCTGACTTCACTAACGAAATTCCCGAATACTTTTTCACATTGTCCACCCTTGCCCTTCCTCGCACAACCGATCCCTGCTCCCTTGCCACATTCAAAAGCTGCACGAAGTTCTCGCTGCAGCCGCCGCTGCGACGACCGTTCTCTCTCGACCTTCTCATACCACAACGACCGTAACGGCTTTTTCATTCCCCAACGATCGTAAAGCGGCATTGAACTACAGTCGGGCCTCCATATATCGAAACTCACGGTTCCTTCGATAATATTCGATATATAGAAACTTCGATGTAGATGAACAATTATGAAATATTTGCAAATGCTTTTAAACAATTTTGGAAAAATTGGGTAAAATGGAAACTTTGATAATAAGTAATTAAAACATGTTGTAACAATTTGTAACACATTTATAAATAGTAACATGAAATTAGTGTTGCATACGTAACTGACCAAATGCCGAATTGAAATTTCAGAAATAAAAGTGTCTAATGTCTTGGGGCACATATGAAACTTGTTGCACGTAGTTCAAAATACTGCTCACACTTGTTAACCCACTGAAACACTTCATCAGCAACATTAAGTGTATATCAAAAACCCTGGAGAATTGTTAAACATAAATTAAAATATGTACTGTTCATTTTTATTTCATGTGTGTCTGTCATGTAATGTCTATTCAGAAAAGGAGTTTGGTATAAAGAAACGTTTTTGAATGTAATTTTCAAGGGTCAGAAAACTAATTAGATTTATAGATTATTTCGTAACAAGGACGTTCCATATATGCAGGACCGACTGTCGATTAAGCCTATTCTTTATTCTGACCAACATTTCCGATTCGTGACTTCAGACAGACGTTCTTTTAGCCTCGCTTGACGAGCGTGCTTTGCGTCTGTGGTGTATTACTCACCGCCGCTTCCTCCGACACAAATCGTCCAACGGGGAACAATACGGCACAAACGTTTTTATACATTTCTTCTTCTTGCTTAAAATAAATATTTTCAAGGGTTTTAAATGCAATTTTGGTTTTACGATTATATTTTGGAATGATTCTCTGTCTGTAAAGCTAGTAACCTTCATCTATGTGAGAGGTGTCAATTTAACAAATTATAAAATATAGGATGATACTTTTTGTTTTAATTTCTATAATACTGCTTGGAAATGCTATTACATTCTTTGACTATTTATCGAGGGCGGAACACATCCTTTGGATATCGTGAGCTATACAACCGTTTGGTTTAAAGTGTTACACGTGATACAAGGTGAATCCATATCTCTGCGAAATACCCACTTGACTAAGAGGTCCCTCCCTGCAGTGCGAGTTTCTTGGT